AGAGGACAAAAACTGGCAGTTCTTGGTGATTAGCTAAGGCTGAGAACCCTGGTATCAACACCCAAAATAGAAAGTGGTGGGGAACTTTGTGACTGGGCCAGAGAAATGGAAAATCATCTGGAGTCCGGCAGAACAAATATCTTCAATGCTTTAAAAAAAAAAAAAGTGGAAAAAGAAGAATACCCTTCTGCCACCCTGCAACTTTCACCTTCCTGCCCAGGAATCTGTTCCTAGGCTCTGACAACTGCCAGATAGGAAAGCACTTCCCCTTTTTAGTGCCTCTTGATCAAACCTAGAAGCCAGTTGAGAACAGGCTAACATGCTCAAATAAAGCTTTGCCAAGGCTTCAAAGGAAGCATAGACTCCACATTCAGTTTCTTGCAATTTGCACAGACATCCGTGAAGCTAAAAGCATGGAGTTGGCTGTTTTCTGGAAATTCCAGAAAATCTCTCAGCTGTCTCTGTACAACCCCTTTGAGGGAAGGAGACCCTGACTGGACAGCAAAAGGAAGACCTGCTTCTTCTGAACATATTGCAGCAAATCTGGGAACATATTCTTACCAAAAGTCAGCACTGCTTAAAGTCATTCAGTCCCCAATAGAACCCTGAACTGAGACCAGCCATCTCTGCTGTACCCCAGAGGTTCCATTGTGTTCTTTGTGTTGTGGATGAGGGAGGGTCAGCACAAAAAGAGCAAGGCTGGTGACCAAGGTCTCGTAGGTAGCAAATGGCAGAACCAGGGGTTGAACCCTGTACTCTTGCTGTTGAGCAATGCTGCCATTCTCAAATGGCATCTTGTGGGAGACCAACCTTACACGTGACTGAGTACATTCCCCGGCTGGGTGCTGAGGCGCTCAGTCACAGAAATAAGGCAGAGCTTTCCCCACCCTTCTTGAGTTCCAGGGTCGGTGTCTCGTGCATGGGTGTGTCTTGCTACAGCCCCATGGGTGGAGCTACGCTCAACTGTTGCTTTGTAATATAACCCCTTGCCCTGTTTAGGATGGAATCTTCCATGAAAGTGCCTTGTGTGTGTGTCCCCTTCTCTTGCTGTGCCCTTGGGTGTGGCCTACCCAGGTGTCAGACAACCTGCTGACAGTGGACATCATGAACATACTCAGCCCCCTGAAACCTGACTCCTTGCCTCATTTGAATAGCTTCTCCTCAATAAAAGGGGTCATCGCGTGCTCTCGCTCTCTCTCTTTCTTCGGACCCTTAAAGTCAGAGAAGCCGTCAAAGCGACCCCAAAGAAAAAAGTATTGTGTCTCTTATGTGGTTGTTTCATGCAGCCCAGTTAGCCCAGTTTAACTGGGGTGACCCCTGAGCCTTTTAGTCGCGAGAACAGAAACCCGGCAGCATTTAACCCTGCAAACCAAAAAGGCTTTTCAGACTAGAAATCAGCCCTTTCCATACTCAGGAGGAGGCACCCTTGGGACATCAGGAAGCAAGAGGACTCACACTGTTTATATTTACATTTTAAAATATTTGTATTTCTTTTATCACTCAGTTATTCCCAACAGCAGCATTACCACTAAGGAGGCTTAGCTAGAAATCAGTCTCCACCCTCCTGAAGCTTCATTTAGTCAAACCAGAGGCTTATTATGGGCTGAAGAGGGTAAAGCCAAAGGCTTCCTGACTCAGGTTAGCAGTGGGGACAGTGCTCTTCAGGACAGTTTCATCTCTGGATTCTGCTGTTGCATCTTCATAGAACACTCAAGCTACCTGTCTTCTCTTGGGTTCAGAAAACATACCACATAGTTATGCATGCAGTCACCCCTACCTGAGTAGAGAACTGGAGCCCAGGGTCATGCTCATGACACAGGTGACGGCCCATGTGAGCCTCAATGGCAGGGGTCAGATCAAACTGCCTCACTGTGAGAGGCCACATGGACCCCTCCCTGAGGGACTCCCTCAAGCTGGCCAACATCCAGCAGTACCCTAACCCCTGCTGCCGCCCCTCTCTCCCATGCCCCAGCAGCCAGCATGGATCAGGCCCTTCTTTTCTTTTCTCTCTTCTGAAATCCTTCACTGGCTTCCCTGTGGTTAGGATAAAATCCAACCCCCTAAGGGGACCTTATCTGTTCCCTGCACATCTCCTGGGCCTCTCAGTGCCACCCTCTGCTCACTCCACTCCAGCCACATTGGCCTTCGTCTGGGTCCGTGAACACCCCAAGCCCTTTCCTCCCTTGAGGCCTTGCCCCAGCAGCCCCCTCTCCTGGGGATGTTTTACCTCCACCCCTTGTCTGGCAAATCCTTTCATCCTTCAGGTCTTATTTAAATGTCACGTCCAATAATGTTTCCCTGTTGTCCCTTCTCTTTCATCAGAGCACATATCACACTTGGTAGTGGTTCATTTCGGATCTCACATTGGAACTGCTGCTGGGACATAGTCTCCAGGAGGGTAGGGTCAGGATCAGTATTGATGAATGGCCAGCATCATGCCGGTAGCTGCTTAATGAATATTTATTAATCAAAGAGCTTCCCCCATGACCTGCCACAGCTGTGAACTGCTCTAAGTCCAGTGTGTGAAACTGCAGCACCCACTCTCTTCAATCTCCCTCCCACCCCATCCTTCTCTCATTAATTAATTCCCCAAAGTGCTGCTCTTTCTTATCCTGGACCCTCTGCTCTGACTGCTGGCGTATCCCAGGAGTCCTTCCTCTCAGGCTCTACCCTCCCCAGCCCGATGATCAGCTCTTGGTGATCTCCACCTGTTCCCTTCCAGCCATCCCCACCCCATGCGGAGATCCTTGTCTTCCCATCATGCCCTCCTCATTGGAACCCCAGCCTGCATCAGCCTGTTCCCCAGCTAGGCCTCCCTGCTGCCAAAGAAATGCACAGAACCACACAGTCTAAGACCACAAAAAGATAAGGTCTCCAACCTCACTTGGGCTTTAATACCTTTAATCAGTCTCTGAAAAACAAACAGATGATACATAAAATGAGAAAGGAGAGATCACTGGTAATTCCAACCCCAGAGGTCATCAGTATTACCATTTTATTGGTTTTCCTGCCAGCTTTTTGTTTTGTTTTGTTTTAATAAAAAAGGCATTCATACTGGCCTGCAAACTCAAACATGTTCCAGAGAGTTGAAATTAAGGCAAATATACAATTCTGTATCCTATTTTTTTTCAGTTACATTATAACAAGTCTTTATAAAGATGTTTGTTAATTGACAGTATTCCTTTATGTATGTATATCCTAATTTATTATTTTTTAAATAAATTTTTGACTGCCTTGTTTCCAAGTGTCCGATAGAAAATTCTTTGACAAATATCTGTGTACCTCATTTGTCTGCCTGCATTTTGCCTGGGTTTATATCCTTAAGAGGGATCCTGAGAGGAACTCCTGAGTCAGTGGGTAGGAATGGGACTCAGGCCATGAGTGAGACACAGGTATGAAGGCACCTGGGGTCCTAGGGCCTAAGTGACATAACCAGACATACTTTCATTTGTCCCTGAACATCTGTCTCTCTTTGCCACTCTCGGCAGCTGTTAGTACTTGCTGATTATTTCTGACAGTACTTGCTACTATCTGCCTAACTGTTCTCACTCACTGCATGCTCCCCACCATAGTCCTTATTCATAGAAAATTAAACAGATATGGAAGTAAGTTCACTGATCAGCTGACCTCAGAATGGGGAGTGTTTCTGGATCATGGCAAGGGAGAATGGGGGGTGTTTCCGGATCATGGCGGGGGCAGGTAATGGAATCAAAGGGCACTTCAGAGTAGAAGAGGGAGGCACGTGAGATCCAGAGAGATAGCAGCTCGAGGAGGACTCAGCTCAGTCCTGCTGTCTTTGAGGGTGGAGGAAGGAGCCCTGAGCTACGGAAGGTGGGCATCCTCTCAAACCTGGGCTTGGCAAGGAGATTGTCTGCCATCATTCAGACACCTTGATTTTAGCCTGAAGAGATCCATATCAGGCTTCTGACCTCCAGAACCATAAAATTGAGTTGTTCTAAGCCACTAAGTTTAATTTAGGGCCATTTGGGGGGCAGGGCGGGGTGGTACCAGGGATTAAACTCAGGACCACTTGACCATTGAGCCACATCCCCAGCCCTATTTTGTATTTTATTTAGAGTCAAGGTCTCACTGAGTTGCTTAGCACTTCACTTTTATTGAGGCTGGCTTTGAACTCACAATCCTCCTGCCTCCTGAATTGCTGGGATCACAGGCATGCGCCACCATACCTGGCAGTTTGTGGTGACTCATTATCACGGCCTAAGGAAACTAACACAGAATTAATTTTATCTTTTTGGTGCTGGGGATGGAACTCAGGGCCTCACACATGACAGGCAAGTGCTCCTCTACCACATCCCGGGCTTCAGAGTTCACTCCTGTTGCTGGACACTCCATTTCTCACCCATTACTGACACAGCCTGGAACAGAGGCCTGTTGGACACAGAGTGGCTGCGTACTGGCTGAGTACGCTTAGTGTTTAGCACATACGTTATTATCCAGACTGCTCCAATGGCAGTCAGATTCTTAGCTAAGAGACATTGTTTTTTCATTTCTGTTGTTGTTCCACAGATGCTAATCACTGACCATCTGAGGTTTTGGAGTCTTGGGCAGTCATTTAAATACCTTCCTGCAATTTATAGATTATCCAGCAATGTCCATCATAGTATCTTCTGGAAACTCAAAAACATTCTCAGATTTTATAGGATTTATTGTTAATTATTCCCTCTTTTTAAAAAAAAAGTTTGTTCTTTTTTTAGGTAATCTAAAAATCTAGTTTTGTTGGCTATTTTTTTTTAATATTTATTTTTCAGGTGTAGATGGACACAACACAATGCCTTTATTTTTATGTGGTGTTGAGGATCGAACCCGGGTCCCACCCGTGCTAGGCGAGCACTCTACCACTGAGCCACAATCCCAGCCCATTGTTGGCTATTATTATTGATATTATTATTTTGTTCCTGGGGATTGAACCCAGGGGTGCTTTATCACTGAGTGACATCCCCAGCTCTTTTTATTATTTATTATTATTATTAATTTTGAGACGGGGTCTCAAATGCCTCCAATGTGCAATCCTCCTGCCTCAGCCTCTTGAGTCACCTGGATTACGGGTGTGTACTACTGCACCTGACCTAATAATGTTATTTTCCATGAAACTTTGCATTTTAATGTTTAATCCTTGACTATTTCTGATAGTACTTGCTACTTGTATATCCAAAGGTACTGTCAGCTTCCTGGATCATGGATCAATCTAAAAGATGATTTTGGAACACGGCCCATTTTGTGTTTATGTGGAATAATATTTTAAATATAAGAACTGAGAACTCATTATAGTTACCAAGAAAAAGTTGAACCACTACTTTTCTCTTGGGCCGAGAGATAAGGCAAGTGTGTATGTGATTTATGTGCTGGCCCACATAGCTCCTTTTGCAAATGTGGCTTTAAACCAGCTAATCTTTTAAAAGTCTTTACACTGACTAATTTAGAAGCAAGGAGAACAAATGTGGGAGTATAAATGTAAGGCACTGAATAAGAGTGATAATCTCTGCCCATGAACGCACTGCTGTGTTCCTGGGTACCCAACGCCGTTCACGATTTTCATTTAGATGGAGCTTCCTGGTGCTTCTCTTGCCTCCCCAGCATGATGTGCTACGTGACTGGAATGCAGATTTGCAAGGTTAGATCTACCCAGGATCTTAGAGCACATACTCTTCGGCCTCATTTTCTCAAGGGCAAGAGAGTGGCCCCAAGGTTACCCACTGATGGTCAAGCCCACCTCCCGCCTGCACCCAGAAGGTGTACAGGTGCACCCTGCCCGACCCTTCTACAGACAGCTCAGCTCTTGGTCTGATTCTGCAGCTGAGTCTCTGGTCATCATCAACGAAATTTGGATAGACATCTGATTTTTTTTTTCTTAGCAGAACAAATTAACAGCAGTCTGCTAATTCATTTGATAGGAAAACAGCACCTTATTTTCTGATGGTCAAAAAAGGAAAGAATTTCAATTGCAAAGATTTATAATGGTCAATATTTGAGCTGTTCCTTATTTGTGGCTGAGTTATGAACAAAAGCTGCTCAGAAAGCAGTTGTTTGGTGCTTGAAACACTGTTTTTCTGAAAACTGCTTGAGTTCAGTCCTTCTTCACCTCTGTGGGTGAAGTGCTGTGACATCAGGTGGTGGAACAGGCAAATGTTTCTATAGCAAACGGGAATGCTAAAAATAGGGTTTGGAGTGAAAGTAGGATGTGGAATAATTGCTTCATTGTTTCCATGGAAAAATGGGAGAGAGGGAATGATGTATCCAGGGTCTGACTGTGCCTACGAGGCCTGTGGCATTTTTGAGACTTGCTGAAAAGAAATGGGGTGTCATCCACTGGCAGGATAACTCTAAACATCTGGTAATCTTTGCATCATGTTCTCTATCATCTCCTCCCATCCAAAATGTCTGAGAGTCTGTCCTTTACTTCATGTATATACAGCAAGTGCTTGTTGTCTAATCAGTGTTGATTCTATGCAAAAGTGCCCAGGGGTGGTGACCCTGTGTGAAATTATGATGTAGGGGAAACTTGGTTCTGGTGCAACTCTGAGACCTAAATGGCAGATGCCCTACACCCACCACCTACAGACAAGTTCCCCTTTTATGGCCCATCACTGAGCTTTTATTCAAATGTAACATTGTATAAACCTCAGTTAGTCAACCAGCATGCTTGTAAACCAATCCCTTCAAAGGGTTAAATAACAAATATCCACTTGATGTTTTCCCTAATAGAGGGTGTGTGTCATTTTCTAAACTCTTGAAGAAAAAGCCCTAGAAAATGCACACTGGTTGGCAAAAAGCACTGGGCAGAAGATTTGGAGAGGCAGTGTCGGGGTGCAAGTCTTTCCAATAACCTCTCTTTGCAATACCAAGCCCAGGCTGCTGTCCCGTGAGTGAGTCACATAGCAGGTTTGGGTGGCAGACACAACTTTTCTGCTATTTTAATGCTTGTGATACACGTATGTGATAAATATTATCCCCATGTCAGGACTTAGGAACTTGGAGGGAACTTGCCAAGGCTCAAGTAGTTAATAAATTGGAAAACCAGAATTGAGAACCAATGGGGTCTGACCCCAAAGCACTTAGTGTGAGGCCTGACCCACAGATGAACTGAGAACTTACCTGTCCTCTTCTCTATCATGGAGAGATGAGAGAAATTCTGATAATTGGGCCAAGATCATTTGATGCTTCTGAACTCAAATGTTTGGCAGAAACTTGAATGCATTTCTTTTTTAGCCTATGGGGCCATAACAATAAAACCAATGAGCTGTGAGAGCTGCATATGGGTAGGCGGGTTCCCGTGCTTTTCTGGGATTGCCTGAAGTTTAGGGACACCACCTTCTGTCTCCCATGACTTATCTTCCCCCTGTGGCCTGAGAACAGATTGAGCTAAACTAACCTATTCCTGCTGACTGGTGCACAATCAGGCTCTGGCTGGAAGAGGCCCTGTGATTAATGTCATTAGCGAGCCCTCATGATCTTCTGGGAAGATGGCTGTGCAGGCCTTTTAGCTAAGCTGCGTTGCACAAGTAGCACATTCCAGTATTCAAGGTGCTGAAAACAGTTAAAGCTGTGGATTGTACATTTTTACAGGTGAATTTATAGCTCAGCTGCAAAAATCAAAGAGAATTTTTAAAATTCATTCTGAACTTCTGCCCTTGAATACAATGGAGTAAGGAAGGCTGAACAAGCAGAAGTCTGGAAAAATGATATGAAATAATTATGTTCATTTGATTACCAGCAGCATAGGACTGTGATCTTCGAGAAAAGGAAAACAAGTTGAGTCCTAAGATCACCTTGGCCTCCTGCCTGAAGGTGGTTTCCGGACTGCGTGGGCAGAGAGAAGGTATCTGGAGTCTGGCAGCTTTGCTGAGTTAAGGAAATGAAGATCAGAATTCAGGGAAGCTGGAGGAGCTGGAATTTGCAGAGCAAAGTTCCAGAAAGGATACAGCCTTGGGGGAAAAGAGCTGGTCTGTGCTGGATATTAGGCTGTGCAGCACGAAGGAAATTCTTACAAGTCTAGCCAAAGGTGACCAAGAACTTGTAAGTGGCACAATTTTCAGGGCTCACCCAGATGGAGGGAGGGTCCAGATCTGACCAGTTGAGGTCCTCAAGGAGAGTCCTTGGACTTCACACACCTCATCAGTAGAGACCCCAGAAGGGTCACAAGCTAGTGATGGGACTGAATTTTCCCTGGATGAATCATTCCATAGACCTGCCCTGGCAAAGTGTCATGGGCTGAATTTGTCCCTTGAAGCCCTTAGGAGGAACCAGCCCCGCTAACACCTTCACCTTGGACTCCACACTGCTTGCATTAAGTAGAAACTGTTGGTGCTCGTGTTCCTCTAGAAGTTTTACTTGTCTAAAGACCTTGATGTATCCTTTGAATGAACCTGGTCATCTGGGAACCTGTGTGATCAACAGCCAGACTCCAAACAAGTGAAGGTGGTGTCTTTCATCAACTGTTAAGACAGGATGGGAAAAATCTAGACAGACTCCCATGATGATAGTCTCTCTCTCCACCAACTATTGGGCAGAGAACAATTTAAAGCATTAAAAACCAACTCAATCTTCTTTGACCTATTTAGGAAAAGTTATTTGAGGATCAGCCCATGTTTAAAGACTTTAAAAGTTGTAAATTCGGCTGGGCACTGCAGCCTGTGATCCCAGTGGTTCAGGAGGCTGAGGCAGGAGGATCACAAGTTCAAGGCCAGCCTCAGCAACTTAGGAAGGCTCTGAGAAACTTAGTGAGACCCCGTCTCAAAATAAAACATTAAAAAGGCTGAGAATGTAGCTCAGTGTTTTTTTTTTTTTTTTAGTTGTTGATGGATCTTTATTTTATTTATTTGTATGTGGGGCTGAGAATCAAACACATGCTAGGCAAGCGCATTACACCCAGCTCTGGCTCAGTGTTTAAGAGCCCCTGGGCTCAATCCCTGGTAAAATAAATAAATAAATAAACAAATAAATAAATAGTGCCAATTCTGCTGTTGAATGGCTGGGCAATCTTTTCTATTCTCATTTTTGCAGACATTTGCGCTGTGTGAAGAAAAAAGTCATCTCCCATCCCATACCCAAGTGTTACTTTTTAATATCTAATGAGTTGTTTTGAATGTTGATGTTGACTCCTTTCTACACATGATCATTCTTAGCTTTTACAGCCTTTGCATATATATTAAGATAATACCCTTATAGAAATGAAAAGTAATAGGAAGCAAAAAGTCTGGAGGGCAGGGAACCATGGTTTTTCTCTTCATTCTCTGAAGGATTCGCTGCAAAACCTCACATGAAGAATAGCTAGCCCAAACTAGCCATTCCTACTCAATGTGGACATTACTAAAGAGGCCACCACCCAACTCTGTAACCCCTGGAAAGAATAAAATCATGACTGAGCCTTTGCGTGTTGAAGTGACAAAGTGTCATGAGAATTCTCAGACAGAAACCCACTCATAATTACCAATGTGAGCCCTCCATGGGGGGATACAACAGCAAGATGGTGTGTGGTTTTCTTTCCATGATTTTGTTTTTAAAGAGACTTAAGGTTGCTACAGAAACACTGGAATTCTCAAGTATTTAAAAGTCTGCCAAAACTCTCCCCGGAAGCAAAGCAGGGGGAGATGCCACCTCCATTGTAGTGTAAAAAGCAAGGTCACTTGGAGACCCCGGAGGGCTACCTCAGTTATGCAGGGTACAAATAAGTAGCATATTAGTGAACAAAGCCTTGTCTTGGACTTGGCCCAGCCCTGAACAGTTGTCTGTCCATGGGGAAACTTTTGAAACTTCTGAGCTTTAATTTTACTATCAGGAAATGAGAAGATCCAGCTGTTTAGAATATATGTGATTTCAAATTCAGACATGTAGGAGATTGACAGAAAGCTAATAACCCAGTTTTCATTCCTTCTTGGTAAATCAAAGGTTGACAATGAGTAATTTTTTGAAAGTTATATATTATGTATATTGTTATTTGGTACTGCTCTCTTGAAATTTCAATTGTATTCTTGTTAAAACAATAGCCAAGCTTTTGTGTGCATTTACAATGTGTTATATATTGTACCAAGCCAGGTATGATCACATGTCACATGTTACTTTTTACTTATATATGTATATTTTAGTTGTAGTTGGATGTAATACCTTTATTTATTTATTTATTTATTTTGGTGTGGTGTTGATGATTGAACCCAGTGCCTCACATGTGCGAGGCCAGCCTTCCGCTGAACCCCAGCGCCAGCCTCAGCCCCACTTTTTACTTATCTTAACTGACATAGTTTAACAGAGACAGGTTAGTATCACAACCAAGATGCAAATTTAGGTCCCACTGGTTACAAAGTAACACTTTCAAGGACTGTGGTCCACAAGACCTAGTTGCTTCTATTTTAAGTATTAGAAGTTTTTTTAAAAATAATAAACTTAGCTTCTGCTAATAGTGTACATTTATGCTTATATTTATAAAATAACTGAAAATTTCAAATATCTAGAAACAAATATTTTAATATTTATGGAGTAATTCTTCCATGCAGAAAACTATGAATCTTGAGAAAATAAATAGAGGAATATATGTTCATGGACTAGAATACTCAATGTTATGAAGAAATAAGTTTTCTCCAAATGGACCCATAGATTTGATGCAGTATAATAAGTCCTGGTAGATTTTGCATTGAATTTCAGTAAATGATTTAAATATTATATGGGTATGAAAAGGCAAAAATACCCAAGGTACTTTTGAACAAGAACAATAACATAAAGGGACCTATGCTAGAGAATAGCAAGACTTTATTGTAAAGATACAGTAATTCAAAGAATGAGCTATCTTCCAGATAGACAAATAGACCGTAGGATGGTAGGGAGTGCCCTGACACAAAGCCACACATATCTCAATGCTTGATTGGACAAGATGGTAATGCAGTGGGGAAAAGACAGTCTTTTCAATAAATGGTGCAGAGTTAAATGGAAATATGTATCAGATAAAAAATATACTAATCTCTACCTTATACCATATATAAAATCAATTTTAGATGGATTATAGCTCTAAAATTAACAAACAAAATAATAAAGTTCATAGAAGAAAATATAAGACATAATTATGATGTTGAGGTACAGAAAGACTTCTAAAAGCAGTAAAAAAAAAAAGGATATCCATAAAGTAAATTAGTGATAGAATGTATATTATTAAAATTAATAATTTGTCTATTAAAATATATCATTAAAAGCTGGGGTTGTAGTGGTGGTAGAGCACTTGCCTAGCACATGAAAGGCACTGGGTTTGATCCTCAGCACCACATAAAAATAAATAAATAAAATAAAGGTATTGTGTCAACCTACAACTAAAAATAGTTTTAAAAAATACATTATTAAGCTGGGTGTGGTGGCACATGTCTACAATCCCAGAGGCTAAGGCAGGAGGAGCTTCAGCAAACACAAGGTGCTAAGCAACTCAGTGAGACCCTGACTCCAAATAAATTACAAAACAGGGCTGGAGATGGTCAAGTGCCCCTGAGTTTAATCCTTGGTATCCAAAACAAACAAAAAACACTCCACCATCATTAAGTAAGTGAAAAAGCAAGCCACAAATGTAAAGTCATTTATAACACATATTAACAATAAACTTGTATCCAGAATATATGAAGCACTCTAATTTCAAAACACAGAAAACCCAATAGGTAAAAGACTCAATCGGAACTTCACAAATACACATACTAGCTGGGAGGCAAGCATCTAAAAATTGCTCAAACCCATTAGTTATTAGGAAAATGCAAAATTTAGCCACAGTGAAATACCATTTTATACCCACCAGAATGGCAGAAATTAAAACAATCCATAGTACTGAGCTGTGAGCAACACAAACTCCCTCATACAGCTGGTGGGTGTGTAAATTAATGCAATTACTTTGGAAAACAGTATGGCTTATCTACGAGGGTGAACACACACATACTCTTTACCCAGTCAGTCCACTTGTAGACGTGTAACCCCACGGGCACCAAGAGACACATCATGAATGTTTGCAGCAGCAGCATCTTAAGAGTCCAAAGCAAAACACAACTCCCATGTCCATTACCAGCAGATGAATGAGTAATGTCATATCCGAACCAGTGGAAATGAATGGACTCAAACCACAACTAAGTTTATCTACATGGGCAGATCTCATAAATACAATTGGGTGAATAAAGGAAACAATGATAATATGATTCCATCTACAAAAATCTCCAAATGGGCAAAACTAAATTTGAGATCCTAGACATCAGGACACTGGTATTGGGAGGAAACAGAAATAGTGACTGAGATTGGGTACAAAAGAGACCACTAAAATCTCCATCTGTTCCACGTTTCTACTCATGTGATGGTTTTATGATTATTCTAATTCATTGAGTTCATAAAACATTTGTATCATGTGCTTTTCTACATGGTTATAATACAGCACAATAAAATGCATTTTATGAAGTACAATAAGATGCATTTTATGAAGACTATTTTTATTTATTATATTTTTCTAAGAATAAAGGAAACTGGAATCAAATATTCTCCCCTCATCCTGACAGGTGACTTTCTAGCCTTTCTCAAAGTATCTGGCCTATCAGATGTCAGCTCTATGACCCTATAAGAGCATGGTCATAAGATACAGTTTTCCAGAGAAAGAAAAACATAGCCTTCCCAGGGTAGAACCGGAGATGTCTGCTTTGCTTTACCCCAGAGAGCCTTTAAACAATGGGCACAGTACATCAAGAGAACAGACAGCACCGAGAAGCAGACAGAAGGACAACAGTCTGCTCTGTCTGGTTTTGATGATCTGTGGAAACTTCTCAACTAGAGGATTCCTAGTCATTCTCTCTCATTAAGAATTAGCCTCTACAAATCTGCCATTCATTGCTATAAAAAAAGATGCTATTTATTGCTCCATGTGTGAATTACCCACTTGCTTCAGAGAAAGGGTTTATTTTAAGATCTCTAAGGGCTAACCTACTGCTAGATGGGGGTTTGGTAAAAATCCAGAAGTCATCTATCTTTTGATCTACTTTCTGAAAAGCTTTGTCTCTGAGCAATCCAACCTTCAAAAATAACTGAGGTCTGTGGACAAGCAGAGGGATTTGAAAGATGTTACAATCAAAGTTATCATAATCAAATGTAGATTGAGCCATAGCTCAATCAAGGTACAGATTTGTAAGAGTTTTTTTTTCTTCTTGCCCTACAGAAACTATAATGTTCTGATCATATAGTTTGGAATTTAATTTTCTAGCACATAAAAACTTCACAATAGGCAACTGGAAGTTCTGGGTTTATGTGGAAATTCTCTCATCAATGTGTATAGCAGATATCAGGGTTTTGTTTGTTTGTTTGTTTATTGGTACCAGGGATTGAATCCAAGGGCATTGAACCCCTGGGTCACATTCCCAGCCCTTTTTATTTTGAGACAGGGTCTTGCTAAGTTGCTTAGGACTCTTCCAAATTGCTGAGGCTGGCCTTGAACTTG